AAAAAAAAAAAAAAAAGACAGAATGGTCTGGGCTCCTGTAGGTCCAAACACTGGAGACTGCTGGCAAGTTCCCACGTTGCCCAGAAGGTGACAGCACAGCCTTTCTGTGTGTTAGGCTAAGAATTTAGTAAAGCAAGTATAATTATAAAGTTTCTGCCTTGACCAAACAGTAGCTGTTTCTCCCAGTCCCTCTATTTGCATGTCTTTCTTTGAACCTACTTGGTAGTGGACAAAAAGGAATAATGAGTCTTATTAACATTTTGCCCTCTAATTGTCTAGTTCTATCTAATTGTATGTTCTGTTTATAAGGAGATAAAACTCTGAAAACAAACATCCAGGAATTTCAACTAATAAAAAACTGTATTTGCTATGCAAGCAGAGTCATATCATGTGGAGTTCAGGAATATGATGGAATTTTATGTAGACTTAACCCACACAGGCTTTTACTCAACATTTATGATGGAGATCAAGATAACTGCACAATCCTGTCCTACCCTCCCTCCATTTTAAAAGATTTTCTCTTAAAATAAGAGTGTTATCAAGTGTGAATGTACTTAAAACTACTAATTAGTAAACTTAAAAATGGGTAAGATGGAACTAGGGTGTAGCTCAGTGATAGTACCTGCCCTTGGCAAATACAGAGCCCTAGGTTGATCCCCCCACACCAAACAACAACAAAAGGTTAAAATGGTAAATTTTATGTTGTCTACATTTTACTATAAGAAAAAAATTTTAGACTGTAAAAATGTTAAAAGTAAAGATACAGAAAAATTTTAAGAATCCACTGCAGAGCAATTAGCTCTCTCCCTTCTTCACTACCCAACAAAGTGTGCACGCGCGCGCGCGTGTGTGTGTGTGTGTGTGTGTGTGTTTTAACACCCTCCCTGTAGAGGAAAATGGGCCTCAACAGTAGAAAGTATAGTCTCATTTATACTCTGGGGTAATTTTCTTAATGTAAGGGTATCTATGTGGTATGCTTTGCATTTGTCAAGCTCTTTCAAATCTCAATTTATTCTTTATGTCTTAGCATAAATGGTGCTGCAGCAGGCAGCCTCTAATTGGAAAAAAATTTCATTTTTGAGATTTTATTCACTAATTCAGAATTCTTGCCAGAATATTCAAATTGTCATGGATGGAAACCAAAAAGTAGAAAAATTCTATTTTGCAGCTTCCTCCTAAAAACCTATGGCCAGTTTTTAATATTCATAGATAACAAGGGATACAAACAATATGAATAGATCTAATAAAGCATTAAATATTAATTGTCCAACAAAAATTTCATCAAATCTCTTATCAGGTAGTAAAAGATCAAATTTGGAGTTCACTTTCTATTCTTTCTAACCTACCTCTCTAGCAGTGCTTACATCCAACAAAATGGCTGAAGGCTCAGTGCAGAGCAGACAAATTAAAGATCATGAAATTGATATGCCTAAAATATGAACTGGGAGGAGATCTAATTTGCAAAGCTCACAAAGCCCTTAAACTGGAGTGGGGCAGATGATAAATGAGGAAAGGTAAGGTAGAAATGTACTTTGATGAGTTGGGAAGAGGAGTAACAGCAAGCAAAACGGTAATGAGTGCACCGATAAATGAGTGCACACACCATGCTTTAGATACTCCTGGAGAGCTTTTCTCCTGCCAGGTGGTGGCGTCTCTGACTATGGAGGGCCAGGCACAAACCTCAGTCATGCTCTGAAGTAACACCTGCCAAGAGCAACTATGAAGGCAAAACTCACCAACTTCTAGTTTTAACAGTACAGAGCAAATTCAACTGCCCAATTCAGGAACTGGTTCTCCTCCTCTTCCAGATTTAATTTCACTCAAATTAATTTGTAGCAATGGAATTATGGAACATTGACATACTTTTCTCTCTCATCAAAGGGCTAGATGTACAGTGGCAGTATTTTTGGGATTTGGATATTATCCAACAGTTTTCAAGAAATTTTTACAAGCATCATCTATGCTATCACTTTAGGTTAGTAGGACTGCTACTGTCGAGTGACAGTATGAGGAAAACAATCTCTGAAATGGTTAACCCAGCTGCTGATAAAAAGGATTGCTTTCTGGAACCACGTATCAACATTCTGGGACATGCAACAATAGGATACTAGAAAAATGTTTGATATAAAGTACAGTATTGACCCCAAATTTCATTCTCATCCTCTGTTATCAACACCCTGCTTCTCTGACTGCCTCTTTAAGCCCACTTTCACAATTTGTATCTTTAGAGTAGAATATAAACAAAGTTGTGCATCTTCTACTTAAGTCATTTTCTCAGTATAACTTTTTTTTTTTTTTTTTTTTTT